GGCGCTACCGCTACTACTACATTGCCGTAAATGTAGTGCCGCTACCGCTACTGAAAATGTAGCGGCCGCTACATGTAGCACGCTACTGCCCACCGCTGCGTGACGGTGAATTTGCATAGTAATATGTAGCTGTAAAATTAAATTTCAATGTATAAAAAGTATCACTATTGAGATGCCATGAAATAAACATGTGAAAATTTCCAAAATACATGGATTACGAAATTAAGAATATGCTGCATAATACAGGCAAACAGCTCGTTTTAGTTCTCCCTTATCTCGATAATAATTCGCGCGCAGGCGGTGAACTCGTCTCTGTCTCCTGGCCTGCGGCGCTGGTCGCGTCGCATGCGCAACATAAGCCTGGGTCTGCACCGCATCGCCTACAACTTCATGGCCAAGATATTTGCCTTACCCACCGAGGCTGAGCTGCAGAAGTGGGGCGCTCAGAGCGAGACGACGTCAACTGAGGGCGACGTCGCGTGCAACAACGTCACTCTCACCGAGGCCGAGGTGCTCGTCGAAGAGGCCACCTTCGACAATCTCATGTCCGTTATACTATAACCTTATGGCTTCGCGTATCTCATTCTACATCTGCTAGACGCTCATAAAACTTCAGGGTTGGATAGTGACCGTTTTGTCGTCTTAATGAATCTTCCATAAACTGCTGCCAAATTTGAGTTTTAATTTTGATACAAGTAGTGAATGCGTTCTAATTAATTGAATTTACTTATTCCAGGAATTTTGATTATTCATCATTTGACTATTTATTATTTTGAAGATCGAGTAAGTAAATTAAAATTTTAGGCGTTACCATTTACTTGCTTTCAGAATAAATGTATTCATGGGAAGTATTTACAGCTGTTCAACTATCTTCACGAGTATTCTTATGACTTGAATATTATCTGTTAATCTCTGATAACGGTCCAAGTTCGAAGTTACTTGCATGGATACTTGGTATTGTGCAGCGTTGAAATAATTTTTGGTACTTTAACTTTAATGAACAAAATTATAAGTTTCGACCTATTTAGGCACCTTCGCTGCTGTCAGTTATGAAAAGTGTTTTAATGTAATTGACTTTTCAATCTCGAAACTACAAGTTTTTTGAACGTTTGATTATGGTTACTTTTATGATGAACATTTGAACAATTTCAATAATTGATTGCACAAATATAGTGGAGTAAATTGGAATTATTATAATTTAACTTATATTATTATGAATAATTTTTCTTTGGTCCAATAACCTTATTGACCTTGAGAGCGAAGAAAGTTGAAGTAACAAAAACTATGTAAACGCTACAGTAAATAACGCCCTCCTTACTCCATGTGTAAGAGTAAGTTTCTTGTATCCGATATACCTGTAATTTCCGCCAAGTTAAATTATGTTCAGTTGAAAGAATTGGCGTTTATCAAAGCTGTACGGATATATGTATTGATTAACTATTTGTAATCACTCATTCTTAGAGATGCTCGTGTCAAGCAATAGAATATTTTATCCTAGGGGGAGTGTTCCTGAGCGTCTCACCGCTGAGCTCGCGGTGTCGGACTGCGGGTCTCAGTTGTGAGGCTAAGTTATTATGTAGGTAGGATTCTTACATTAAGTTATTATGTAGGTAGGATTCCTTACATTAAATTATTATATAGGTAGGATACCTTACATTAAGTTATTATGTAGTTAGGATACCTTGCATTTCCCTTCTCTGTCTCTCTCATGCGGGCTGCCGACGTCCCGTGTAAGCGACCTCTTGTTCGAGTCTCTTCGTTTCTGTTCACCTGTCCCTCCTTCTCACTTCGTCTCTTTTGAGAAGCTAACGCTGCTTCTTTCGCGCCAGCATCAGCGGGCTGGACAATTGAGACCTACCACTCCTTGTGGGTGATTATTAATTTGAGATTTTGAATAATTGAGACCTTCCGCCTCGCTGGCGATGTTAATATTTTGACCTTCGGTGCGAAATAGCTTGATAGCTGATTCGCTAGCAAACCGTTATATAAATACCAGATGAAATATTCTAAAATATTATTGTGTTGTGAATTTGTCAACTTGGTTAGCTTTTGGAACGTGACAAGACTCCTCTTTATTGTAAGCGTGATAAGAAGCTTAGTTATAATCCCTTTTGAGCAGGTTTTCCAAAATCTTTCTAGATGCATGAAAATCTGTTATAAGTACCAAACGGGACAACGTCCTTTCAACCATTTCTCTTGTTTTATCTTCCCTTCTTTTACGGCAGGAAGCTCGAGTATGTTGCGTTAACGACAGCTGCTTAGAGTGCGAGGGCAAAGCACTGAACGCTTTCTTTAACAGAACTTGTCTGCTAAACAATGCGAACTTGCCTATAATATCGCGCTCAGTCGTGAGAAGCACTGACTACGGAACATTTGAGATAGGGCTGCAGTGACTAGAAATCTACCGTTTCCTATTTTCAGAAAGTTTCGGTTTTGTAGAAGGATAAATTCCACCAATTCCGTGCTGAATACGTAACCCTGGGTCACCATTCTTTATACTAGACGACATCAGCATTCTTAGCTCCTGTGTCCGTGGCCAGCGTTCTTTTCTCATAGATCAGAAGTCGTCACCGCTAGTCTAGGTGAATAATGCAGCCCGCATTCGACGTGAACGCAGTTATTATGCAGCTCGCATATATTATGACGGCCGTAATTATGCAGCTCGCATATGTTATGACAGCCTTAATTTGAGCAATGAAGTTTCGCTCACACAATCGGACAAATAAATAGATAATAGATTCAGCTGATATTTATTGAAATAGATGCGAATGTTTTAACTGGTAATGATTGGACCGGTTGTAGAAGGAAGCTGAATTCAAATTCTTATATATTGTAGTATATAGATACAGGATGAATTTGGAGTTCACAATTTTGGTAGATTGGCGGTATCTATGAAGTGGTTGCGGTGAATATGAATACAGGATGAATTTGGAGTTCACAATTTTGGTAGATTGGCGGTATCTATGAAGTGGTTGCGGTATTTAAAATTCCTTGTTGCCCCGATGAGTCCCCGATACTGGGAAGGAAAATATTTCTACTGAATAAAAACGAATTAATCGAACATTAACTATGTGACAACCTACTCTAACTTATAAATCAAATAATGACATAAATAAATACAGACCTAACATTTTGGTGCATCTCAGTGTTCAATGCAGTTAGGAGGCATAATGAAAAATAGAAGAAATCAATTGAAGGAAGGTACTCTAGGCGGAAAATAGAAAAGGACAGTTGGAGGCTTGACGTTGGAAATTTGAGACAAAGATATTGAAACGTAGGTCACAGCTAAGGAAACTAGTTCCTCGGCCTACAGCAGAGACCTCGTTCACTTGGTTCGCAATTTGATATATTAATAATTGATCGTTGAATTGCCTAGAGCACCGTAGAAATCTTTAATACAGAGCGTAATCAAGTAACATGAAAAAAAGCAACATTCACACCAACGAAAAGATAGGGAAAAAGCAGCCAGGAAGACGTTTAGAACTTTTGAATCTCCCGATGCTTCTCCGGCTGAAGTCGCTGTATACTTAAGTGTTGCCTGATTGAATTGAATGAACAACTGAGAATTTACGCAGATTTGAGATAAAGAACGGTACGAGATGGGATAACTTTACAAAATGGGTGCTAATGTCGAGGGCAGGTTATGTTTGATGGCAGGGGTCTCTGTAACCACTTGGCCACCTTGCCGATTATTAGTCGCAGTAACAATAATTAACTTATGACCTTTTTATGAGGATAACCGGAAAGACTCGTTTTTCTTATTAAACTTCGTTTCTAGCCTATTAAATTGAACTACTAGCCTGACGAGAGTATTCAACAAAACTCTGAATACAACACAAACAAAACAACAACATCAAGCTAACAAATTTAAAAGAAGAACTACAAATAATATCAATGGTGGGAAAAATTTCCCACAAGCCGTGATTATGCAGCTCGCATCTTGCGGCGGCCGTAATTATGCAGCTCACATGTGTTATGACGGCCGTATAATTATGCAGCTCTCATGTGTTATGACGGCCGTAATTATGCAGCTCGCATGTGATGTTATGACGGCCGTAATTATGCAGCTCGCATATGTTATGACGGCCGTAATTATGCAGCTCGCATATGTTATGACTGTGGCCGTAATTATGCAGCTCGCAGTCGCTGTAACTGCAGTTATTCGCCACAGCTAGTAAGCTCGAGATTAGCTTTCTATCAAGACCGACTTCTTGCTTAACACAAGAAAAGGGGTAATGGAGCGATGCTTAATTGGGTAGGATAGAAACCACGACTTTCAATCAAGTTGAATGTCTGTGCTTAAGTTAGGCGCGAAATTCAGCAAATGTCATGTTTCACGATATTTGATTTCATTTCTATATACCTATAAGAAAAACATTTGCAGAACGACTGACTCGTAACGAGGATTCCTATAACGAAAGCGCTGACAATTAAATCACCGGTCCTTATTTTTGAAACGATGCTGGTCAGTGGTCACGACCCACAGTCCAATCACGATGAAGGTGACAAACCCTTAACATTCACCGATAACGATAAAGACTTGAAATAAAACACGGAGGTGACAATTATGATAATTTACAAGTGATAGTGACAGCGTTCATTAGGCCAACTGTAGACTTACGCCAATTCTTGACATCGCAGAATTATAGCAGCTTGCTGGGCTTCGGACCCGAAACTCGTTGCTCAAATCTAGCATTTCTGAACCACACGGCCACCTCGCCTGTTTTGAATAGGACTGTCATAGCAAGCTGGGGTCGAATCCGCAACACACTCCATCCAGTTTAGTACTCTCTGTAACCACTTGGCCACCTTGCCGATTATTAGTCGCAGTAACAATAATTAACTTATGACATTTTAATGAGGATAACCGGAAAGACTCGTTTTTCTTATTAAACTTCGTTTCTAGCCCATTAATTTGAACTGCTAGCCTGACGAGAGTATTCAAAAGTATTCAGTATTATAAGCAATTGAGGAATGTCAGGATAAAGAAAGGTTGGGTCTGGATTTACAGAGCTTGTAGTTAAACGTATAGCATGAAATATCACACTCTGTCTAGGAATACAGTATCCGTCGTAGATGTTATTCTTATCTATCTATATAATTAATGGCGACAAAAATACCATCAACATTGTGACATTTATTATTGAACGACAGCTGCCCGATTTGCAGAGATAAAAAACTTTAAACTTGGACAGGAAAAAGATGCATAAGCACCCACAGATAATAAATTTATTGCGCTGTTCATGTCAAATCACAAGGCAAGAAGAACGTGAAAAAATATATGAAATGGAAGCCTTAACACAATCCTGAAAAAGAAATACCTTGGCGTCAATACCTCCACAAGAACAAGTCTAAATCACACATCATTCTGACAAGGAATCCTTAACATGTGTTTGAGCACAATCCCTGGACGTCCGCCCCTGTCCCACTATTGTCATCAAAATAATCTCGCATCAGCTCCTCCAACTGAGGACAGATGAGCGTTAGTTCTATTGCTCCTGAGCCTCAGGAGCAATTAAGACGTGCCTCAGGCAGTTGACGACGTATTCGCATCAGCGTAGCCGTGGACGTAGCCGTACAAAACATCTTCCGAAGTGTTAATGAAAAATTTGCATAGTTGAAGTAACTAAAATCGAAAATTTTCCATTAAAAATACCAAACAAAATACTCTTGTGATTTGGGAATGTTATCTTTATCGTCTCTTTGGGGTATTGCTGAAGATAGACATTCCATTCACCTGAATGTTCAATTTGGAGTTAAATTACAATCTTGATACGTTTAGTGATGAATTTTGGGTTCAACGCTCCATCAGTGAATCATCACCACTTGAAATGCACCGTATCAACGGTCCCAAGCAAGACGAGTCATCGTTTCAACGATCCCAGGTATGACGAGTCACCGTATCAACGGTCCCAGGCAACAGTCACCGTATCAACGGTCCCAGGTTACTTTTCTTCCTCATCTTCCTCGGGAAGTTGAGGAATCTTCGGTAAGATGAGGAAGTCGTGGCAGAAGTAAAGGTATTCCCTTAGAAGAGCTGGTAACACGTCTCGCAAGCCTTCCGTCTTCTCTTCAATCCTGCAGTGGCCGAGGGAGGCGCGGATGGAGAGGCGGCACAGCTCCTTCAGCGACCGCAGCGGCGCTACACACGAACAAAATTCAATGTTCATTAATGCTAAGCTGATAGACCTTTATTAAATAATTAAAATATCAAGCGTTTACGATTAGAGCGTTTGTACTTGCTGCATACTCATCAGTTCATTCTTCATTATATACATGCATGTAGGTATATGCATTTATCTAATCGCTGACTCCCAACACATCAGGTGTAACCTGTCTCAGCCACTGTAATAGGTGATCAACTTTTAATCACGTGAATCAATTACTTCTAAATGCACTAATTAATAAATGGAGACGGGGACAAATAATTTAAAAAGATACCATAATTCAGCCTCCTAAATTGAGGAACTCCGATTAACAGTCCGTAGTTTTAGTAAATTCTTTCTTTGAGTGAAGTTAAGAAGGAGGTTCATTAACCCTAAGTAAACTGCCTCACTCTTTGATTTAAACGTACCCATTAGATTTAATCGTGCCACTATGTTTTCTGGGCGATAGAGATATTTCAGCGGCCTCATTTCGTCGTCACAAGGAGACCCAGAAGGAGTAGGAGTCCGAAGCTTCCACCTCGGAGCATAACGGTGAAGAATGGAGAACACGAGCCGCCTACTTTCAGCCCCCGCCCTTATAATTTCTGTCTCGCTATTCCAGATGACAGAAGAATTAACTTTTAACATCATAGACATTTTTAACTCATTGGTCTATATTAATATTAATCCATCAAGCTCCACAATTTTAATCAGTAATTGGCTGAAACACTTACACCGGGTGCAGGAATAATTCGTGCACGCCGAGATGGAGCAGCATAAACACAAGGAAACTACATCCTTCTTTAATGGCAAGCCTACACAAATCCGTAATCCTGGGCGACCTGAGGCACAAATGAAAATAATGTGATGACGCTTGGAGCATGAGGCAAAAACACGAATGTAAAGATCATCTATGTATAGTGGTTATGTGGATATTTACATAGGCATCAGCTGTGAAGCTACCTCGCATCAAATGATTTCTTGCAATGCAGACACTTTCATCTAAACAAATTCACCTGAACCAGCACTGCCCCTCTTCACAGCAGTTCCTGGTCAGCTCTGATAACAAAATTCGATACGGTGACTCCGGCAAGTGCACAATAGCTTGGATATTGATATCAGTTTTTTGAAGACTTCGGCAAATTTTTCGAAGGCATGGACTAGATATGAATGCAACCGCAGAAGACACTGTCAGCCGGAAACCTGGAAAGTGTCAATACACACGAGTCTCGAGAGTTCTTGAGGGCATATAAGTACTATTATCATCGGTCAGCTAAAATAGCAATTTCACCAGGAGTAATCGCCAAGTAAATTCACCAAATATTCATGAAAACATTTCGGAGACCAGCTTCATCAGCAGTCCAAAAAGTAAAACTTCTGAGAATACAAGAAAAATCAGCAGTAAAAAATCCAAATATATACGACAAAAACCTAAGTGGCGAGAAAACAACATAAAAAACTTATTGAGTTAAAATATCAAGAGAATAAGAACTGTATGCGTTATTAAAACAATTTTTCCGTTTAAAAATATGCAGTGATTCTAAAATCCTTGGATCGCCCACCATAAGTGGCATCGAGTATCTCGAAATCGCTCTCAGCAGTCGCACTGTTCAGCATAAAAGCGCACAGCCAAGTGAGAAGTATTGGAAAATGTTCGAACGAAAGCTCCTACCGCGATGCTCAGAAACACGTGTGTAGACGACGTCATTCCGACGTATGCTGATGCGCAGAGCACATAACTTTATTAATAGACCAGATTAGACAGCATCTGGGCAGAAACAACGTCCTGCTATATCTGAAGACGGAACCAATTTTGAAATTATTCACCAGCAAATTTCTGCAGCAGAAGCGCCTTTTTCTGCAGCAGATGCGCCTAGAATAAAAAACGCGTACAGTTCCAATACTCTTCAAAATGTAGACCGTTAGGTTTTAAGTTGCTTTGTCGATGTCTCGTCATTACAGTTTTGATCTTTTTCGTGTATATTGATTTTCAATATTAATTCTACGAGTATACTCTAAGTTTTTTTTAACTTCCGATGCTGGTATCTCAAACGTTTTTATAAAGATACAATGAATTTACTTGACGTTTCATTTGCTTTAAATTCTCGAGAATAATGTTGTCAACATATATTACATGGAGTCTTGTTTTTATAAGCAGATGAAATTCATTATTTATTCTCTGCCAAAAGACCGCATACGCCATAAAATAGAAGCGTTGAAAATCAACCCAATGCTCCCTCCCAAATACAACACTCACCTTTCTGTTTCATCAGTAGCAGGAGCTTCAAGACTAGGGGAACTGAACATAAAGTCGTCTCGTACAGCGCAAGGTTGAGGACGTTTAGATCTATTTTCAGGCCCATACTGCCCAGTATGTTTAAATATTAGGAAATTACTTATATAATAAGTAGCACAATAAAATTTCTAGAATATGTAACTTTTTCTCAATATGGTGCCTTCCCGAAAGAGAAGACCTCAAGTAATATTCAGATCATTGCAGACGTCTCATTCGAATAATAAGATTTACGGTATTTCAAACGATTCAGGTGATCATCGGACGATAACAGCTGGAGTAAATAGGCTGGCGCAGAGTGGTCACGTTCTCGTTGGTTTCAAGAAAAGTTCTACTTTCTGTAGTTTTTCCTTAATAGTACAATCGAAGGGTTAAAATACAATTTTTTTATAAATATTTAGATTAAAATAGCCCTGGAACCAACTCTCAGCCTAAGCCCAAAACGCACAGCTAAGCAAAGCACCAAAGTCAACGACAACGCCAAAAAAACCTTCCACAGCAATTCTGAAGATTCTTGAAGCCATAGAGCCGTAAGTCCACAGCCACTTCTCCAGTCTATGTAGTGTTCATGGAAGCTACGTCCCAGCAAACTTACCCCAAATCTCTACCTTTTCGCACCCAATGAGGTTATATTAGCTCCAGTAGTAGTATAGTAGTAACCGAGTGTATCATCACAATCTGCATCAGCTTAACAGTTACTGATAATTTACCCACAATATTATTTCGAATATTGATCATCAAAATTGAACAATTACCCATGAATAAAACCTGGTTATTTACCCACAATTTTATTTCGAATCTTGACAATCAAAAATTTGTGCGCTATCTTCCGATCTGAAACCTGACCATTTACCCACAATCTTACCCAAATCTTGGCCACTAAAATCATGAGTTAACGTCCATGTACCCTCGATTGACAGAGCACTTTTTAACCGAGAACTCAGGGCTTGGGCGAGTGTTTTGATGGAAGATCCTTTTTTGGATGTATAATTGATTTAATTTTAGAACTGCTTTCCAGAACCGAGGTGCTCATCTTTCTTAATCAACACAAAGCTATAATATTATTTTATACGTTTCATTTCACAGTTCTTGAAACTCGGCAAAAGGCATATCACAAGCAATGTAATCACAGTGAATATTCTTCTTCAATAGAATTTATAAATTTGAAATCGTTCTAATGGTTTATCTTGGTAATATGTGATAGTTCTGGGATAAGCAAATTGAACTACGGTTATTATGTGTAAAGACTATCAGCAGAATTTTGATTCTTACCCGTAGCAATATCATCGAAAATGAACATATTCTTCTCCCTAGTACTTATATCACTGGGATCAGGTACAGAAGCAGTATTCTCAAATTATTCAACTGCACATTGTTGAAATCTTATAGATAGGTTTTAAAGATATTCATCAATATTGTCATTGCCGTCAGAAAATAATTCAATGATCTCATATTTATTATATCCCTTATAGAAAGCCTCCTTCAACAACTTATATTCAGGCTCTTAGTTGACTTGCTATACAGGAAAATATCGTTGAAATCAATAAAGTTCTCCAATAGCAAATTCAGTAGCAACGTCATTTTTCCGCAGTTCGATCTTATGAGACACCTCAAACTTGGAGAAGGGAATACAACATGGTTCTTCTGTTCATTTTTACTATCGTCTTCCCACTTATATATCATTTTTTAAAAGTTTATTGCTAAAATCCTTTTCAATGTTTGTTTTAGTATATTTACTTGAATTATAATCCTAGTTGTTCCTGTGAAAAGATGGCAAATATCAGAGTGAATATTTTCAACACCAATCTGTAGCTGATTAATATTTCTGGAATTGAACATCACCTCTCGTGGGACATGTCATTGCGTCTGCCATTATATTAAAAATTTCATCATGCTTTTTCCTCCTCACAGGCTGCCTGGAATGACAATAGCTTGTAAATGAACTACCCTCTACTAACTTCAATTTGCATCCATCATAAATAACTCTGTATTCTCGAAATATTTTTAATGGGCTTATCACACTTGACTAGATAGAATAACTTTTCTTAACCGAAGCGTAAATACATAAAGTAGAGTGAATTGTAGGTCTTCCATTTGTCAATCATTTCAAATGGTACATTAGATCTGATTTTTATTAACCAAGTTTATAAATGCATTTTATGAATTTATAAACTTAGTTTAATATTCAAATTTTCGCAAAATCACAGTAGAGCTCTCTATCTAATACTTGTTTCAATATCCTCAACTTTTGCAAGTCGTACAGAAAACTCATCCTGCTTTCTCATTACTTCTGCAACTTTATTCATGTTGTCATCTGCCCTGGTTTCAACACCATCATTATATGCCTTTAATTCAACTTGAATTCCTGCTAATGGGATACTTTTTCATCGAGGGATTTCAAATTATTCATTTGTATTTGCAATATTGATCTTACTTCAGTCATTTCCTGAGTTAATTTCATACCAAAATTTTTCAATTGTTTTTACTTCTATCATTTCTAGAGTTATTTTCTTGTCAAGATCTGTCATTTCCTGAGTTACTTAACATCAAGAGTTTCTACTATTGATTTTACTGCAGGCAATTCTTTCTCGAGAAAGTTAATATGCACCATGACACCCACCCTCACTACATCTATTTTTAATTGCTCATTTCTGAATCATTTACATGAATACCTGAGACCTTTACGACCTCCTCATCAACCTAAGTCTTGCATTCAGCATACTTATCTTTAATTGGATAAGAGATATTTGCAAGCCCCCGAAAATTCAGATCAAATTTTTTTCAGCATTAAGGTACTGAATCCCAATACCTGGAGGATCTCTTAGATAGGATGTGGGTGTATTTTTAATTCCTGTTCCAAATATATTAACATAAGTCATTTGAATGAAGTATAACTTCTAAAGCCTACAGACTTGCCCAAACACGTAAAGCTGCAAGATTAGTTTATCCGTTTCATTATACTGTATACTGTATAGCATCAATTAAAGTTGAATAATTTCAGTCTGATTTGATATATCTCTAGAAAACTCATGAAATATGTTTTTTAATATCCTTCATCTCATTAATAATATCTTACATTTTTGTCAGCAAAACTGGCCCCGCTTGTAACTCCATGATTTGTTCCGCGATGTTATTAAATTTCTCATCATTAATTCAAGCTAAATATGACTCCAAGATTTTGAATTTCTGATTAACTTCAGCAAAAGATACTTTTCCATCAATTTGTAACTTGAGGTTATGAAGCCCCAATTCTGAAGTTTTAAGGGGACCCACTACCCTCCGGAAATACTTTTACAGTTATTATCCGATCATCATGAAACTTCACATACATGCGTAAAATGAAAAAATAAGAACATTTTGCTTCAATGAATTTTTCGAAAAATCGATAGAAAACGTGAAATTCATAGAAAACGGCTAAAAAGGGGTACTTTAGAAAATCTATCTCCTCCTACAAATACCATCTTACAACATTGAGACACGTATCATTCTATTCGTAAAAACCATACCTATAGACTCTGTGATCACTTTTTTCATTTTCCCCTTAGTTTTTTTTATGCGCGTTTTATCCCATTTTTATGGTACCATTGGAAAGAGCAGAATTCCAGCTTTCAGATGAGCACAAAAATCGAAAAACGCCAAAATTGAAAATTTTAGGGTAGTGGGTCCCCTTAAGCTTTTCATAGACTGTATCTTCAAACGCCAACTGTGCTCTATTGATCTCCTCATCAGCTTTGATAATCAGTTTCAAATTTTCTTTAATGTGCAATTCCGAATTCTTGACTTCATCATCAAGAGTTACCTGCAAACTATTTATTTTCCCCTCAACTTCTTTCATTAGTTTATCCTCAATACCCATTTCTATACTTTAATTTATCATTATTGGCTAACTGCAAACTGGTAATTTTCTTATCAATTTGCTTGATTAGTTTTTTTCAACATGTTATTCCAAATTCTTGACTTTGCCATCGAAAGCTGACTGCAAACTATCAATTTTCTCATCAAACTATTTAATTCGTTCTTCAGAAGAATCGATCTCGGACTCTAAAATTTTATATTTGTCTCGAAGTGTAGACTCTAAAAATTGCAAACATAAATCAGTATTAGAAAATTCAACTTGTAAGTCTATTCGCAGGGCTGTAATACTTTAATTGAAGGTGGAATGTTCATTTTGAAGAGTTTCTTCTACAGTTTTCAGAGAATCTAAGGGATATACTTCAATTTGTTCTTCCTCACCATCTTTGCAAATTGATGAGAGATTCAAATTATTTGCATAGATGTTAACCCATTAATGCCGAGCGGTTCCATTTGGAACCAGCGGGAAAAAATGGATTCATAATAAAATTGTATGGTCAAATCAATATACGATGCGTAGGTTTGATACACATCTTGGACGTGTTCTGGCAACGTTTGGTTCTGCTGCGCCGGCTACTCCCTGCTCAGTTAACATTTAAAGATTGTAAGTACCGGGTGTCAGACAGAAGGGCTTGGCATCATTGCAGAGAAAGGTAAGTAGTTCGTTCTAAGAATATATTATTTATAAGTTAGATGCAGAATTTTATCGATAAAGAGAGTACTTTTAATTCATAAAATTCTCCAAATTTGATTCTTTTAAAATTTTTACATACCCTGAGTAGCGTTATTCATGATTCATATCTTTACTTGCTTGAATTACTTATACACATTTCAAACTACCTATATTGGATGAAACATCATAAATCAATATAACAACAGTAAATAACAAAATTTGCTCAAATCAGATATATCAGCAATATACTTATCAAATGTTCAATGAACCATCATATTCATCATATCAAGTAATCACCAAACAATTAAATACATATGCGCCCCCAACGTTTTTCGTTTTAGATGTTGTAAAATATTTTAACTGAAATACAAAAGACCAAGAGAATGAAAGCAAACAGAGATCAGTAGCTGCCGAAAAATTATTTTCTACTTTTTAGTAAACATGAAAAACGTGGTCTTTAAAATTTTTTTATACATGTTATTTCTAATTGTATTTTTAGTAGATCATCACATGAAATAATCGCGATTTCAAGAGAAGAATAACACG